TGGTATTTACCATTATAGGAGCGGCTCTGATACTTTTGCTGCAATATTACCTTTATTTACGATTTTCCATACTTCCTGAGGAGAGTGCCGAACAAAAGGATATCAACACAAAGTATTCATTGCCTGCGGTAAGTAGCGTAAAGTAAATGATGAAGAAACAAAAAATTCACACATTTCCTCTTCGAATGGCAAAGGATATTTATACATGTGTGTGTGTGCTTCTTATACATATGTACATTTTCATTGTTACAACTCGCAGACAATTCAGCAGACAGCACGTGCCATAAATCTATTGCCACCTACCGCAACGCCAGCCGGACACACACATACGGGTACACTTGGTGCGACAGATGCAGCGCCTTTAATGTCAATTAATTTTGTGATGCAATTCCTGTTTCATGAATTGAAAAATTCCAGTCGCGTGCGCAAGTGGTTCTATCGTAAGCTATCGCTGGAACTCGATGAGCTGTTGGCGAAAACAACGACTGGCAAATTATTCGATAAGCTGACGGTGAGTTGGCAAATGTCAAATCTGTATATACATACATATATGTTAAAATGGGATAGTAACTAAAAGTTTTAAATTTGTGCATACATGTATACATACATTGGATTGTATCGGTCAACACGCGAATGAACATTATTTAATTATACCCCGCCTAGCTTGAAGTCGTTATATTCGGCATTACAAATCGAAAGCTTCTAAGATAAATCAAAGTGGTGAAAATACTTTTCTACCTCAAAAATTGTATTTTTACAATTCATTTATTTTTACATTTTATATAGCGACCCATTCTAATGTGCGACCAAATTTACGTCACGTCAACTCTTTTCTTAACATGCGAAGTTCCGCTGGTTGTAAATACTAAATTTTGATAGTTCTTTCTGCACTCGGTCTTTCCGTTATGTCCGTGAATTCCCCAACCAACATCTCGTTAAACTTCGAATAGCTTTAAAATGTTATTTCCAATTTTATAAGTAGAAGAAAATGTTTAAATTAACGACGTTCTCCATAGTCTTATCAGTTAATAATCGATTCCAAACTGAGACACATAAGCGCTTGTGGCTCTTTCCATTGGGAGCCGGTGTTCATGGAACACTTTTATTTCCTGAGCAAGTTTGTTTTACTTCCAAACAGCAAGGGGCCGATGTATTCAAATTTTGATTCTGGATGAAAATTTCTCTATGGGGATTCCAACTACGGAGAGTTGGATGGCAGGTATTATACAGGGAACAAAAATAACTGTTATCTCGAATTTACAAATTTACGAGCTTCACTCAGGTGATCGTAGGCATTTTCATATTTTGCCATTCTCTATCAATTCGTTCACTAATAGGGTTAAATCTGCGAACAAGATTTCGCATATCTTCACCGAACTATAAATCCCTAATGAAACTCTGTGGTCTTACATGGCATCTGTATGACGTGTATTTGGCTGATAACTTGGCTATCGCATTTTTATACCCTCCGATGAATTCTGATATGTATTTTTATCACTTTAGATTAAAGAACTGGAACTAGGTGATCAATTTCCAGAGATAAGAACTTTACGTGTACATAATGTGGAATTAGACGATGCCGGTGATCGTATTGAAAATCTCGATCTTCTGCTTGAGATTCATTACACCGGCAATTTTCGCACTTCCATCGATGCTGATATGGTGCTGGGCAAAAAGGGATCACTCACTTTAATTGGTAATTGATAACTTTCTTCTAATATATTCTACTTCTAATCACACATTATTTCTCCTCAATTCAGTGAAACAATTATCAGGCTTGGCACGTCTCCAATTTACGCGCGAACCTTACACCCATTGGTCGCTTAGTTTTCTCGGTGATCCAGAATTGGATTTAGCTGTCGAGTCCAAGTATCAAGGCCGCCAAATGCAATCAAATATAACCAGCCTAATCTCCAATCAGATACGAAAGGCTGTACGCCGCAAACACACGCTCCCCAATTATAAACTACGCTACAAGCCATTCTTCCACAAAACTCCCGAAGAAGACCCTGGTGATGGTGACATACAACCCAACGGCACGTTGGAGGTTAAGGTGTCGGAAATATCGCGACTTATGTGCTCAGAAGCGGGAACTGATATTTACTGTACTTTGACTTTGGCCTCGCTGGCATTTGTCGAGATACGCCAGAAAGATAATCGCAATGTGGTTGTTTCAATGGATGTGGAAATACATAAAGCAAAAAATCAGCAGATTGGCATACTTTTTAGGCAAATACCTGAGATAGGCGTCGAAATTGAAGCAGTGCTACCCAACACGCCCGCTTGCAAGTCGAATTTGCGCCCATGCGACATGTTGATCGCCATCGAAGGCAAGCGTGTACAGACTATCCAGCAGGTGGCGAAAGTTTTCAAGGGTTTACAGGCCTCAGCCTTCAGGCTGCGCATTGAGCGCATCATACCGGGTATCATAAGAAACGATGCCATTTTGGAAGATCTTGAATTATACGAAGACTTGGGAGATGCGCATACGGGCTATGGTGGGGTTAGGGCATCAATTGAGATGGATTTTGGAGGGAAGCAGTCAATCTCGCGTCCAGGCACAGGTGAAAGGGGTACCTCCAGCGAGTCTAGCCTTGGCAGTACACCAACTAATTCACCTAAGAAAACAAAGCTTATTACAAAGGCATTAAGGAAAACTATAAGTCGCGAGAGTAGTGAACAAAGCAAAGAAAAAGAGGAAGACTATAAGGCTAGGTGCAAGATGTTGGCGAAACTGGAAGAGAAATCCCGTGGTTCGCCGAAAACTATGGGAGATGGCATGAGCGAGCTAGAGCACTACTATCAGCATTCGACGGTGGATTGCAGCATCAATCGCCTCATCCACATGGATGACGTGGGCCTTTTCAAATTGGATGAGAATTCACGTTTCCTAAATATTGGCGTTTATCTGAAATGTGCCGGTGACAGTTTGTTGCTAGGCTTTGTGAATATAGCAGTGGGACAGATTTTAGCTGAATGCTGTGAGACAAGCTTGGTGCAGTGCTGGAAGAAATTCGAACTCAGTCCGCCCATGCCGCAGGATTTGTGAGCTATTTCTCGATGAACGTTTGTTATTGAAAATTAATAAGAATTTTTTTACATACTTTGCAGAAAAACTCACAAACTATCTAGTCAATCAGGCTTCAATGCAGACTTGTGTTTTGGCGATATGCTTCTCGCCTTTACATGGGATGGTAATCCAAATCTGCAACTCGGTGAAACAGCAACAAAACAGATGGCTAAGTCCAAAAGCAAGTGAGTAAACTATAATCTTCGCTTCAAATGAAAAAAATTTGAAAACTTTTATTTCGTCTAGGAACAATATTGCTGCTGAGAAAATAGACAATGACAGTGGCATCTTTGACACCAATTCCATACGCTCCACTCCCAGTTCCAGTTCGCTAACGCCAGCTACGCAAACAATTTCAAGTCAGCGCGCACATAATTTTGTCCGCACGCACTTTCAGCGTGCTACACAATGCGATTTCTGCGGCAAGAAAATATGGCTAAAAGATGCGGTACAGTGTAGCGAATGCACAATGTGTTGCCACAAAAAGTGTATAACGAAATGTCAGAATGCAACGGTCTGTGGACCGGTCGATTGTTCGACGGTGCTGCAGCAAAGGCAACCCTCAATTTCTAGCGCTACTCCAGAGTTTACCGTTACCGATGCTGATGCGCTTGATGCTTCCGAAGGCGAAGAGGCCATGCCATCAGCGGACAGTGAGGAGGTTGCGGAAACTACGTATATTAAAGCGCCACCAACGCCGAGCCTCGAGGTCCATCGGTCAAGTCTGACGGGACTATTAGCACAAGGTATTAAGCGGGTGAATTCGGCTAATAATCTCGCCATACCTGGAATTGTATCCTCTTTGGCTGGCAGTGGCGGAAGCAGTGGTGGTAGTAGCGGAACGGGAGGAGGCATGGCAGCTGTGGCGAGGAGTTTACCACCCAGTCCGCAACGCTCCCCTTCACGGTGAGTTGAAAATACAAAGCTTTGTGGATCCGTATTCAAACACGATGCTTATTTAACTTGAATTCTGGAGCCTACCTGCTAAAATGTTTTAATTTTATTAAGAAGAGATTTAGATATGTTAAAATAAAATTATTTTTTGTTCAGAAAATCATCGCTAGTTTCCAATCCATTTGCCACCTTCGAAGTGGTCACACAGCGCTTAGAGGCTATACCCACAGACGCCTCGCAACTCAGCTTTGAGCAAATAAACGCCATCAGTGAGCCGATAATGGGCATTTCCAAAGATGACGACGTTATGACTTTAGCTAAAAACGCTAGCAGAAATCTTTATAGTGAAGTAATTGGCGCAGAACGTGTGGAAAAAATTAATCTTTTGGTAAGTGCGAAAAAAACCAAAAAATTATGGCAAACTACAATTTACCATTTGCTCTCTCCTCAGCTAAGCAAACTTCGCTTGGCCTTGGACAGTGAAACGGCCATGTATTCCAGCTTGGCATTAGCCAATACAACGAAAGCAGAGAATGCGGATGCGAGCAGCACAGCTTCAAAATCCACAACACTAGGCAAATCGGAAGAGCGTGTCCAAGCGCTTAGCGTAATAATGCTATATCTATGCACTGGGCTGCAGCATGCACAGGGCGTCGAGATGCGTTAAAATGCGTTAAAATTCACTGCAATTTTAAACGAAAATGCTTTCGAGAAAAAAATTTCTGGCGAACAAGTAAATACTAGATGGAAAATTAATAAAAACAAAAAACAAACCGAACACTGAACTGAAGGCTGAAGTATTTATAAAAGTGGAATTTTAAAGTAGCGCTTAAAAAACCTCAACCGACTCTTTTAGAGAAAAAAATACAATCCATTGCAAGTAGTGAAGTAAAAATTTTTTTTTTTTAATAAACTTAAATATTTTATTGTATGTAGAAACTTACACCAGAAGGTGCTTTAAACTAAAATTTTGGTAATTTTAAAAGTTCAGAAGTTATAAGTTGAAAGTGCATATGCATGAACATACATACATAAAGGCAAAGCGAATGCATCGACTGGAAAGTATAAGGATGCACAATAAAAAATAGCGTTGTAATAATTGTGGTTTTACGATATTGGCGACATTGGAGCTGTGTAGCGTAACTGATAGTATTCGTGTGTAATCAAAGTTTATAAGATTATCATAAAAGAGGAAATTAAAAATGCTTATTAAAAAAATTTAAAGGCAAGCTTTTTTTCCCAGTAACCTAAAAAATCAAAAAGCTTTTTCTTAGCTTACTCCTTTTTAAAAAGTAAAAAGCACCCATTTTGCTTGTATTTTGGTATATGCATACCAGTGCACATCGTATTATATATAGATACATAGTTATATAGGTACAAACGAATATAATTGCAGTGGTTAATGTTTATTTGAAGCAAATGTAATCATTTAAAGTATTTCCTAGTTATAAAATACTTTTGTGTGTATTTATAGGCTGAAAAATATTGCATCGAAATTTTATACGTGAAGGAATCTTTAATGTAATATTTTGATTAACATTTCATTTCATCAAGCACAAAAAATATTTACATAATTTGTATTGATTTGTAGTTTGTTTAACTTTATTTTTGATATTTTTTTAATTTTATTTATTTGTTTATTTATTTTTGGCGTAAAAGTATTAGAATAAAAATTGTTGCATATATTGTGAAAAATTTGCTATGCCAATACTTTGTTCCGGCAGTGTATGTAAATGAGTTTTTCGTTTTTCTTGAGAGCTGGAAACAGCCATTTAAAGTGAATTTTTGTAGAAAAGTAAACTCTTTTTGTTTGGGAAGCAGATGTTGTAGTTTTTTTTTGGCTATTTTTCAACGGTTCACAAATTCGAATCCACGGAGCAGACCCATTTAGTTATATGTAGGTATACAGAATAATTTTTTTACAAAGATTTGTCAATCTTCTTGGATGCGACATTGAAATTCAAATATTTCCACTACCTTGAGAATTACTCTTAAATAGGAGATGATTGTTGTTATTAGCCTGGTATGGTAATTTCAAAAATCATTTGGCCTATAACAAAGTTTTTAAAGCAGTGCGAAAATTCTGAGCCAGCTAATTTCTTGATTCTGGGCTGATATGCAAACGTCCACCGGTACTAAGAGAGGGGTCTCGTCTTTTACACAGGGGTTTTCTATAACAGTAAAAGCTATCGAATTCCCGTTTTACTGTTTGTATATGTTCTAACATATATTTATATCAAAATTTAGCAAGATGTAGACCTAAATTTTACGGAGCAGTCACACACTGTGGATCTTATATTTCATAGTCTATCTCGCAGTCCTATCTATCTAGGATAAACGCGTGGTCACTACCCGCAGACCACTAAGTCACAAATGTAAATTATACTTGTATCAGATTCCATAGCGTATCCAGAAACCCTTAATATGCACACTATAGGTTCATCTGCTTAGGCTATACATGTATATCTCGAAAGCTTCCTTCCCCATCAGCTTCTCTAGCTTGTTCTGTTGGATAGAATAACTGCGCCACGGCCGGTAGAACGGTTTTTTGAAGCGCTGCGATCTCTACAAAGGCCGTCAATGAGAAAATGACACGCAACATTGTTGAAACAGATCTACCTGAAGTGTCTCCAATATGGTGATTTGTATGAAATCTTTGGCATATAAGCCCCCAAAGTTACTCTCCAAGTACAGCAAATATACGCACATAGGCAGGTAAATTTGTAAAATAAGCGCAAAGAATTACTTTAAGCATTTTCAATAGGTAACTATGCATTACATTCGATACCTAGCATTGCAATTGAGCCAATCAATTTACGTGCAAATAATTTGCTATCTGTCTTACTCGCAAAAAACTGTTCTTGTAAGCAATTTACCTTATATCTTTCTTGCAGGGAATCTAAAGTTTATTTGTGTAAGATTTGAGCGCTGACATTTAAAGTGAATATGCACCGACTTCCTTCCACTTTACATATTTACATCAGCACGATAACTGATCATTTGATTTGCTTATTGCCTGAAAGTAGGCAATGATTTTATTTTGTAGAGTTAAGCTAATTTATCAAATCTCCAAAAAAGCTTTCAGATTGCGAGCAAATTGTGGAATTTACTCTTTTTGTTTGACTTACCATAAATTGTTGTAAGCGGAAGTTGTTTTGTACGTAGGAATATTTTTCCATATATGTACATAAGTATTTGCTGAAATTATCTAAACTTGTAGTAGGAAGAGAAAATCTTAAAATAAATGGAAAATCAGAAATAAGATTTTGATCAAAATGTCAAAATGTTTTGCATGTACATATGTTTGTATTTTTTATACATAGTACAAACATAAATATCGCACACGATCTTCAAAGGTGACACAAGTCAAAATCGCATGCTAATAATATGATATAATAAAAAATTGCTCCAGCTTTTGCCGAAAGAAAAATAAAAGCTCTATGTACATTTCTAGCGCATAGTTTCAAAAATGCCAAATTTTGAGTTGTGTCACTTTTGAAGATCGTATGCATTATATATATTAGACTGTGTCAAATAAAACGAATGTCGGTAACAAAAAAATAATTGTGAAAAAATGTCAGCGCCATTACCATTTTTTTAAAAACAAGAATTTTTATTAAAAAACCTTTTCCTCAACTTTTTTTTTTCAACAAGCAGTTAAATATAACAAATAAAAACAAACAACCAGGGCTGCCAATTTAGCTCTTTTCCAGTCAATTCTGGCTTTATCGAAGTTCATTTATTCATTTTATTGGATTTGTCTTAAAAAGCGATCCAAATAAAATTTTATGCCACTCGGGCCACGGCAACCCCTGCCGACTTGCAATCAAAGTAACCAGAATAATCTTTGTGCAGTTCGCGTGTTTTATTAACTTACTCATTTTACTTCTACATAACGCGGTATTACTATGCTCCCTACAATATTAGGGCATAATATTAAGTAAATCTGCGTAGGACTTTTTCCAAAAGACTATGAGTAACAATATATTTCCAAATGTTTACACAAAATATAGAGATATGGGTATCAAATGAAAGAAGAATTCGAAACAAGATTAACTATAACTTTTGTTTTCAACTATTCTTTTGGAACATGTCAAAAATGTCCTTTGAAAATATTATCCTTCAAAATAAAGATTGTCGAAATTTTTTTTTTTAATTTCAGATTATGTTGTGCTATATTAAATTCATAAATTTCGATTTGAATTGCATAAAAATTTCATTAATTTGCCAATGCACTTTGTATGTACTGCTGAATGTACTAAAAGCTACAAACTACTAAATACTACAAAATGTTAAATGTACAATAAATCAGAGTTGTTGTGTATTATTATTATTCAATGTTTACGAATAAAAAATGTACGTCGCAAATATATTCCTAATAAAAAGGGTATTAATAACACATAATAAATGTATGTATGTATGAGTATTATGAGTAGAAAGAAAATCGAATTAGACGATGACTATGTACAATGTCACACCAATATTTTATTTTATTGTTAAATTTTAATGACTTATAAGCGTGTAAGAAATTTTTAATAAATTAAATAACATTAAAAAAATTTACAAATTTTTTTAAATTCTATCAATCTAGCATTTACCATTTACCATTCATATTTGCGCATTTGTTTTTAGCTGCGTCAGCATGTGCGTAGTTGCTAATTATTTTTACTGCCGTCAGGAAAATCAAAGCTCGAAAGCAAAGGTCCTTGCGCAACGCACAAAAGTAGCGCTCTTTCGCTCAGCACGCGTTCAACGACAGATTTCGTCCATGCCCACGCAGATCAAAGCACTATATGTATATATGTAGATATATACTTACAGATATGTGCAATAGAGCAGAGTACTTTGTTCGGAGCAAAATATTCGAATTCGATTAATTCTAAGAAAAAATTGCGAACAAGTTTTGTATGTACCAAAAATTAAAATGCAGTACATATATTGTAAATTTTTGCGAAATTTAATTTTTATTATACCAAAAAAATTTTTACGAAATGAACAAGCATAACGAACTTGTGAAGTAGTTTCTTAAATATGAAGAAAACACAAAATTCTCTAATTGAAAACTAATTTCGTTTAGAAAAAATTATTATTTTTTTTTTAATTTTTCTTTTAAAAATTGGGAGCGTCAATCGTCATTTTTGGTACATATAGTTTTTCGAAACTAAATTACTCCGCCCTAATGTACACATATTGATGTTTGTAGTGTCGTAAAAATGTTTACAATTAAAAATTATTTACTCAGAAATCAAAAAAAAAAAAAAAACACAGCAAAGCAAGTGCGCATAAATACATTTGACCGAGTCACGGCGCGATGGAAATTTTAATATGTAATTTTTTGCTTCACTATATACTTCAAGTCGCATGTGGAAAATCTTGCGCACATGCCGCCACGGCGATGCCTATATGGCTCACTGGCATTTTGCCAATCTGTATTTCGTTTTCTTTGTAAGTTCTTAAATATTTCCGCAGACGTTCATATGTAGTTATGTACAATAGATGTGAAGCTGACGCAGCGGCCAGGGAACAATGGACAAAAGTTCAATAAATCCTTGAGAAAATTATGGCTCTAAAAAAGAGCAAGTGGAATATGGATATAAATGTTGGTACATACGCATGTGTGAGGGGCATTTGTTTAAAAATAACAAAAGCTTATTTTCACAGAAATTTAATTATATATACATCCTTTATTATATATAACTTCATTTAGTTTATAACTTTGCGCAGTTCTTAATTAACAACTTAATATATTTGCCTCATTTTGTGAAGCAGTTACTACAATATGGTAAATATGGCCTATCTGCAGTTTTCCGAAAAGTGAGATTCCTATATAAAAATTCACCTTAGACTTAACTGTCATCGATGATGTTTATGCTTTATGTTTTTTTTTTAAGAATTAACTAATGAATTTCAAAGTTGGAACAGCATTCAACGATGACAGTTAAGTCTCAGATGGGTTTGAACAGCAAAAACTAGTTTTTGTGAAAACTGCAGATAGGTCGTATTAAATATAAGCCCTCGCTATGTACATACACACATATATATGTACGATGTGTGGTACGTGTGTGCATTAGACTGCATCACTCCCCATACGAAAAAAATCGGTACTATTTTTCCATTGGAATTATAAAATCTATTATATTTTAAGACGTCCACCAAAATATTTCGAAAAAATATTAAGATTTAAGTGAGCTGGACCAATTTAAAAATACCTCCAAAAATTGAGTTTTTTATGAATAAAAATAGCTTCTTAAGATTTTTTTTGGAAAAATCCCATCAAATGACAAAACGGTTAAAGCTTAAAAAATTTGCATAAAAATAAAATGTTTTGTCATCTGAGGGGACTTTTTTCAAAAAGTTCTTTACGAAACTATTTTTATTCATAAAAAACTCAATTTTTGGAGGCATTTTTAAATCGGTCCAGCTCACTTAAATCTTAATATTTTTCCCAAATATTTTGGTGTACGTCTTAAAATATAATAAATTTTGTAATCCCGGCGGAAAAACCGCAACTTTTTTTGGTGATGCAGTCTAATGTGCATACACATTTATTTTCAAAACAGATTTTTTCCCAAAATGTATTCAATTTGCTTTGAAGTGTCAAGCCGCTTGCCAAGTGTCTTATCTAAATTTAGTTTGATTCATTGGCACTAACGCACTGTTAAGTAATTACATTCACTTACACGTACACATGTATGTATGTATGTAAATGCATATGTATGTGTTTGCCCAAATTTGCGTAATTTTTGCGCTATGAGTCCACTGCTAAATCTAGGTGAAACAGTCCTGCTTAGAAAATCAAACTAATGTTGAATGGCGGAAATTGATTTTGAAAACTATTTCGTTTTTTCATCTCAATTTAATTGAGATTTGTCGGAAGTGCGTATGCACACTCCACGTGAGATGGCTGGAAACATTCCTCCGGCTATAGTGCCGGCAACTGGTAGTCTGTCGGGGTGAAGAAAATTTTAGGAGAGCAGAAGTTGATATTAGAACTCAATCGGGATAATACGTCTGACAGTGGGCTCCCATCCATAGATAACCCCAACTCCAAGAAGGAACACCTTATGCCACGGTATGCTTGGTCAGGGGAGTGTCGACTAGTGATGGCAAAAAAAAATTAATAATCGATTAATCGGTTAATTGATTAATCGAAAGCATTCGATTAATAATTGCAATTAATCGTAAGAAATTAACCGATTATTCGGTAATTTCAATTAAAATCCAAAATTAATAAAAACCATTTATAAGTTATAAAAACTGACTTACACTCCGTGTCAAAATTATAGCACACGACAAGATTTTTTTTTTGTTATTTAATTGTAGTTATTTTTTCCAATAAAGCTTATTCTTTAACAAAAAACGTATAAATATAAATATATCAAACTTTGAGCAATATTAAAAAAGAAATCAACAAAAAATTCCAGCTTTTTAATTAGATTTCTTAGAAAGATTTTCCGTATGCAGTTTTGTAGCCGCTCATTAAATTTTTATATAAAAAATTCCAAGACTGAAGTATATGGCACTTACCGCTGATTTTTGGTATTTTTGGTTGGTTATTTTCTTCCATATGAAAAGAAGAAAATGCGCAACACTGAATTCGGAAAATAAAATGAAAATATGTGCATACCCGGGTTGTCACTAGTGCTAGTATGCCTGACTCTGTGATAGGGTTAACCGCGGTGTACGTACCCATTTAGGATATTGAAAAAATAACAACTTTTCATAAAAAAAAATACAAATGATTACGATTACACCCTAAAATCATTGCTCAAGCCTCCGTGGCAGGATGATTCCGGCTGTGTAAACTATCAGTAGACTGCCTACGATTATCTTCGTCGGAGCCATTCGACTACTTAGAGATGTTGTATTGGAAGCCATGGCACCTCCGAGATAAGCCTGCTTAGCAGACACTCCGGTACTAGTTGCTGGACGTTCGACGAGCTCAACTGTTAGCGGTCTAGGGTCCGAAGGCCCTTCGTTTTCAGAGACAGAGTGGGCTCGGCAAAACTTTGCAAGAAGTCAATAAAAACCCAACTGTTGAAGCTTCCGCTTCAAGATACGGAATTTTATGAACGCCCTAATGCTCATCTCATTCTTATTTCACTGCTTTTTAGCTTCCTTCACGAGCTGCACCCTTATTGCTTTACAGTCCATGAGCGCGGAAGGAGTTGACGTCGTTACGCATTTTTACATAACATGCATTTGTATGTAACGGGTGGTCCAGAGGTTTGATATCACACGATCACATAGTATTGGCAATATTGGTCCGGGAAGGTTTAGGGCGCTCAACACCAGAAGCAAACCTAGCAAAGACGCTCTAAAAATTGCCAACAGAAGTTAATATTCTACATAGAAGTTGACCCGGGTTCGCTTGGAGCAGAAATCACCTCGGGACCCTGCTACAAAAAAGCATCGACAGTCCCTTGACGCAGGGGGGGGGGGGTGTGGTTAGCATTGTTGAGCACCGTCAACAAAACGCTTGAACCGGAGCTATCGGCATATCTTTAAAAAACGATTATCGACATCAGAACTGAGCAATCCGGGCTAACGTAGTGCCGGAAATCGAGATATGAGTGGCTTCTCGTCATCTGCTCGAATGCCCAAACGACCTGTCTACGACGGTACTCCGAAAACGTCAAAACCAAGTGCGATCTTGAGGTGCCACTCGTTGAGGAAAGTAATTTCCTTTATACTCGAGCAATCCGGGGTTACTCTGCCCAAAAGCATCCACTTCTTGAATGAGGAAGTACTAGCTATCATCGCACTTCAGAACGATCTCTCAACCAGGAGGTGGAAGTGTGATCGTTAAAAGTTATTAACAAATAATTTATATGTTATTTATACTAAGATTGTTTTGATTGTAATCCCTCGTCCGGTCGGTACAAAAATTAGTGTAGGACGGTTTTCGGAGAAATTTTTCAAAAAAAACCAAGATCGGAACAGGAATGTTAATTTTGGAAAAAACCTACTCCAGCGCCACCTGGTTGGTTAATCTTTTGCAAAATAATTTTTTTAACGCAACGAATAAGAGCAAAATCGAAAAATAAACACTCAACTTCAGCGCCACATAGATTTTGTGTTCTTCCAGACCATATTTTGAAGCAGTTTTGCACTAACACAAACAACTTAGATACTAAGCAAATCTTGCTAGTATCCGCATAGGCTAACCGAGTCAAATTTTGTTATGTAGGGTAATTTTAGGCGCCGGAAAGTGAAATGTTTCTACTATACATAAATTCTACAAAAGGTGACTAGGGCTCGATATGAGGGTAGCCAACTCATTTTTGCGAATTCCCCGATTTCGACAAAGAAATTCCCCGATATTCCCCGAATCTTCGTAAAATTCCCCAACCAGATATATCGCCTTATTTAAGAAAATAAATAATTGTATGTATTTTGATATATTGCTGGTCTCTCTGTTTATTTTATTTTTGAATGTAATTCATCTATGTATTCATAACCCAAATCAAACTTTTATAAAGTTAGTTGACAAATAAAGAATTATATGTACATAACATTTACATACATATAGTGGTCGAAAAAAATTTAGTCGACCCAAATTTTTACTAGTTTTCACAAATATTTTTGTTTGTTATTTAATTTGAGTTATTTTTTTTTTTTAATATAGTTCTTTCTTTAACAAAGTCTGTACAAATCCAATTTCAAAATGTGTGCAATATTTAAAAAAAAATTCAAAAAACTATCGTAAAAATTTGAAGCTTTTTAATAAGTTTTTGTAGAAAGATTTATTAAAGTTTTGTAGCCCACTCATTTAAGTATAATAAAGTGCAAGTTTAAAGTAGAGGTGCCAGATAGAAATAAAAAAAATCGGTTTTTCGTTTCGAATCGAAATAAAAATAATCGATGCTGAAAGAAAGCGTCAAAAAATAAATCGATCTCCCATAATTTTTTTCCAAAAAGAGTAATTAAGGAGTGCAACATATTTGTGAAAATTTTCATAAACTTTTGAATTCTAATTTTTGAAGCTTTTGTTGTAGTATTAGCCATAATTTTATATAGAGTTATTTCCAAGAGGCTTTCCTGGGAAGCCTATAGTCAGAGAAGAAAGGAAGGCAGGTTATTGAAGTCCTTGGTCTTTGCTCTCTCAAGTTAAAGGAAGGCTACCAGCTACAATTCAAATTTTCTTCAAAATTTCATAGATTTTCTAAGGTAAACCGTAGATCAATATGTATCCACTGGGGAAAATCGAATATTTTGAATCGATTGACGGATCGAATCGGAACTACAAAAACGATAAAGCATCGAATCGGAAGGGCTCGATTAATCGAACTACGATTTAAAAATAGCATCTATGTATAGTTTAAAGTGGCTAAAAATTTTCGTTTTAGATTTTTTGCCCCCAAAGGTGTTGCGGTTTTCTTCCATGTAAAAATACTAAATTGTGTTTATTCGTTATCTGAAGGAAAATGCGACAAAGAAAATTTAAACAAATCAATCATAAACAGTACTTTTAGTTGCAGTTGCATTGGTTATGCAACTTTTTTAACTAATTATAAATTAGTGAAGCAAAAAAGAAAAAATTTAGTTGACACCTAATTCCACACAAAAAAGCAGTTCATCCCCCGATTATCCACCAAAACCTAAAGTCCCCACCAAAAATTGTCCTTTCCCCGATTCCCCACGCAAATTGAAATTCCCCGCAAATCAGCGAACTCCCCACGAGTTGGCTTCCCTGATATGTCTCAAAACGGAGCTTAAGCTCACAAAATTGAGCTTTATACGCTAACCAAATCTGCCATACAATTCAGTGAGGTTGGATAGAACACCAGCGTAAAATGCAATGAGAACCGACGTAAAACAAAGCAGAGTCATTCTCCGCAGATAAACTTTAAGTGCGAAAATTCGTAGAAAAACAAAAACAGCAATAATTCGTTGACTCGTAATCGTTTCTTTTATTTTATTTCTGATTTTATCTTTATGTACATAAATAATTTTTGTTTTTGTTTTGATCTTAGTTCATTGCTTATATGCGGCGTAAATACGTACATAAATATGTATGTTTGTCTGTACGTAAATAAGTACAAAGCGAGCGTTGATACTGCTTAAAAGAAAATGCTTAAAAATAAGTGTGTGTGTGTGTGTGTGTGTGTGTGTGTGTGTGTGTGTGTGTGTG